ATCTAAGTTATATATATATATATATATATATATGTATATTAAATAAAACTAAAACTAAAAGTTAAGTAATATGAAATGATCAAATGTTCAGTACAGTAAATAAATATATAAACCTAGTTCAAAATTTAAATTGAAAAATTTAATCATGAGTTCCTAAATCTACGAAGAAGATTCCCTCTTAACTTACTCTTAAAACTTTTAACATCCTTACTTCATTTAATTGATTGGTCTAGGTTATATAGCGTAACTGTTTTCAATCGTTCGCTGGCTAAGTTTGGTTTAGTTTATCAAACATGGAATTTTACTGCAAAGGGAACCTATCTGGTTTCATCAATTTACGGCTTGCTTAGTTGAGTATAGTTCATCAAACAGTAAGACAATATTTTCCCCAGTGAAAAAATCTCGTTTGCTTTTATCCAACAATGGCTGGCTTGACGACTTTCAAAGTACCTTAGACGTCGCGTTTGTTTCTTCCTTGCTCGATATTCTCTTCTCTCTTGGAACCCTTCTTCGACCCACGACTACCATGAGAGCCTCGTGGAAATCTTGTTTGAAGAACGTCAGCAGCACTGGGTTACAAAGTGATGAGAAATAACGAAAAAACATGGTRAACCTAACAACCATGTTATATGTATTACTAGTGAACCGAATACTGTGGTGCTCGTGGAGGTCAAGAAGYATTGCCCAGAAAAAGTAGTTGAATGAGCCCAGGATGAACACCACTATCATTGCCAGGAAGACCAGTAAAAGTTTCCTTTCGTTCTTGGCATTTGCTTTTTTCTGGCTGGACGTGCTTGTACTCGTTGCTAGCACCTCACCCCTTCTTGCGTTGTGTCTCCGGATGAAACGAAATATAGCGATGTAGATACCGGAGATGAGGAATAATGGTATGACCACGACTATTGCGAATGATACACAGTCGTAGATGATCTCGATTTGTATCATGTCTTTCTCATCGATAGCCAAGTTTTTGATCCACGACAACTGAACGAGCGAAGCAAGCAGCGAAAACCCCCACATCCCGAATATAACCCGGTATGTGCTCTTCCCCGTTACACGAGATCTGTACGCAAATGGCTTAGTGATTCGTAGATATCTCTCCAGGGTCAACACCGTCAGGTGGGTAACGGACGAGAAGGCTAGAAAGCGTATGCAAATGTCCATTGCAATACACGTATTCTCTGTGACCGTCAATGAACATGCAATAGAACTGGGAATAGCTATTAGTCCTGTCGATAGGTCGCTCACAGCCAAGCTCACCAGGAAGTTGTTGGTGACTGTACGTAGATTGCGTTTCTTGTAAACTAGGAACAGCACAAGTATGTTTGCTGCTAAGATTGTTATGTCCAAAACACCGTAGAGGCCTAAAACTGTGTATGTAGTTGTGGGGTCGTGAACTTCACCGCCACCCGTCTCGTTCTCCATGTAGAGTTCTGAAATGTAACCATGTAACGGCCTATGACATCGCACTCAACGAATAACATTGGAATACTAAACCTTGATCTTCAAGATGCATAACTATTCACTACTGAATCAAAACTGAAACTATTGAGTTAGGGGTGAGGGTCACTGATCAATGATTTTGATAACTGAGCTTATCAACGTTTTTTTGTTGTTGTTTACTGCTTCATTTTTCCCCTAATGATGGACCATGGGCCCAAAAGCTTGGTTACCAAAATCATTAATGGTTGAAGAAACAAGTTAAATGATGTTGAACCCTGAAGGCCACGAAGGACATTTTAGATCTTCCTWCCTTTTTTGTTAAAGTTACGTGTTCTGAAGAGTTCTAACAGGCTACTACAAACTAYAAATTTGATATTACTAACATTAATTTGACGCCAAAGGATTGAGTGATTAACGGATTTAGATAAAACAGGACATGTAGATAATCAGCGTTATTTGAAGCGGTTTGGGTTTGCACTAATGATGAATGATGGAGAGGGTTTGCGGTGACGTGGTATTGCATTATTTTTGGTGCGGTTGTGTGGCAATCTTTATTGGAGGATTGTTGAAAAAAATGTGGTGTTTTCACTCAGATCAATCTCTCGCCTTCGTTTGATTTGTTTCAGCTGTTCAAATCGTCTAAATTCATAGCCGAGGCATCTGTCAGTCTGTCAATGACACCAAATCTCACACAGAGGCCATTATTGTGCAAGCTTTCGTATTTTAGGACTTTTCTAGTTAATACTTGATATTATTAGCCGTTTTAACCAATGACACGTCCACATGTTTAGGTATTTTACTTTTTTCTTTGCAGTTTTGCAGTATCCGGATTTAGGTGTGTGTGTGAGAGATTTTTGTCTAGACTTGAGGTTTAATTAAGCAAAGGTTTTTTTATAGCAAATTAGTTTGAGATTTATTAATTATTTGTTAGTAATAATTTACCTTTTYATCATTACTGTTTCATTAGAAACACCGACGCAGCTCACACTAGTTTTTAGCTAGTTACATCTTCTATTTAATGATTATATGAAGTCACAGTCATTGAATTATAACAGTTCATAGTTTAAAGAGGCAACATTTAACTTTACGTAGAATCAAATGGATTAGTGTCGAGCGCGAGAACTTACAGTGCCTATGACCCCTAACTTTTTTCTTCAACCACTAATGATTCTACTAGCCGAGCCTCCAGTATGCTAATGAGTGTGATGTCATAGTAGGCATTATTAAATTTTCGAAAATTTACTGGGGTAGTAAAATATCCTGTATAAAACATAACCCGGAGTAGTCAATCGATAAAAATCGATATCGATAAAAATCGATAGAAATCAGCTGATTTGTATCGATTTTTATAGGAAATCGTTTAAAATCGATAAAAAAAATTGGTGTGAGTTCGATTTTTATCGATCAA